TGCAGTGGTGCTCCTGGCGACCTACGCCACCGCGCTGGAGTTTCCCGAAGTCCCTCCGTGGCGCCGTCCCTGATGAAAAGGGACGCGGTGACGGCCCAGACCTCCGTGCCCGCCTTTCGCCGACGCTCTCTGCTTTGCATCGGCGCTGCCTGGCTGCCCCTTTGGGCTGGCCCCCCGTGCCGCGGGGACATCCCTCGCCGTCACGTGCCAAGAACCGCATCCTGTTCCCACGACCGGACGGTCCCAGCCGCGGGGAGCAGCTCTGGCAGTGGCACATGCCAAGAGGAATTACGACCTTGGGACTGATCCCATGTCCTTCCCCTGGGTCCCACGGACACCCCGACATCCCCGCAGAGGACCGAGCCAGCGGCGTTTCCCGGCCCGATGGTGGGAGGGTGAGAGACCCAGCGGCTCTGCTCGGTGTTTCCCGAAGTCCTGAGCCAGCGCCTGACTCCTTCAGCCCACCCGGCCAGACGAGCCCCGGCGAGATGCCGCCAGTCTCCCCATCAAGCGGGGACCGCGGGGAATGTCCGGCACAGCGATGCTTCACCCCACAGGGGATGTCCCAGCCTGCGAAACCCCTCGGGGCCGGCTCGCAGGCAGGAGGATTTGGCAGGAGGAAGCCCCTGCCTTGCACAAGAGCCGGCGTCATCCCCGGCGAGCGCTTGCCGTGGAGCCCTGTCTCCGGATGGACGGCCTTCATGCCATCCAGCCGCGTCGTTCTCCTCTTCCTCGGCTCTCGGAGGGCCAGCCGGTTTTCCCCGTTAGCTGGAAATTTCAACTCAGCGACTTTCATTTCCCTTCTGCCCTCGAAAGGCGTGGGAGGAGCCGGTGGAGTGGGCAGCGTGTCCAGCCCCTGCTTGGCTGCCCGCTTCTCTCAGGGGGACCCCGACAGGCGGTTTTGGGGCATTCACTGGCCATAAACAGCCCGTGTCCCTCCCCACACCGGCCTCAGTTTCCCCGGCGCTTCGAGGACCCTCGTTTGAAGGAGCCCCAGGAGAAGGGCTGGAGTTGACAGTCCCCTGGGTGCAGGTTAACGGTTTTGCTCGGAGGCGGGGAGCGGCGAAACGCCGCCCCCGCC